GACAAATCAATTTATAATACATGAACATGTTTTTTTGTTTGTTTGTTTTTTTATCCTCACCCGAGGATATTTTTCCATTTTTTGTACAGATAGAGTGGGAGGGAGAGAGAGGAAGGGAGAGAGAGAGAGAAACATCGATGTGAAAGAGACACATCAAGTGGCTGCCACCCGCACGACCAACCAGGGCAGGGACCAACTGCAACCGAAGTACGTGCCCTTAGCGGGAACCGAACCCGGGTCTCTCCGGACCGCAGGCCGATGCTCTAACCGCTGAGCCAAACTGGCCAGGGCGAACATGTTTTTTTTAATGCAGGAAATATTATCAAATGCCACAAGACATCACAAACACATTCAGAAACGTAAGTAAAAAACAATGCCCTTCTAACAAACCTCAGAAGTGCCACAAAAATATTAAATAACTATTTCAGCCTAATTTTGGTATACCTAAATTTAATATACTTTATAAATAAAATCCATATTTAGAAAAAATATAAATCAGGAGATAAGTCTCTTGATCAAAACAAGTCTCTCTCTCAGTACAATTTCTTTTTTTTTTTTTTTAATCCTCACCCGAGGACATTTTTCCATTTTTTGTACAGATAGAGTGGGAGGGAGAGAGAGGAAGAGAGAGAGAGAGAGAGAAACATCGATATGAAAGGGACACATCAAGTGGCTGCCACCCGCAAGACCAACCAGGACCGGGGACAAACTGCAACTGAAGTACGTGCCCTTAGCAGGAACCGAACCCGGGTCTCTCCGGACTGCAGGCCAACGCTCTAACCGCTGAGCCAAACCGGCCAGGGCAGTACAATTTCTTTAAATCAGTGAAGTCCTTAACATACTTAGGATGCATGCTATTTTTAAAATCCTCATCTGAGGATGTTTATTGATTTTAGAGAGAGGAATGGGTGGTGGAGGAGTGGAGAGAGAAAAACATTGATGCGAAAGAGAAACATCAATCGGTTGCCTCCAGTATACACCCTGATCAGGGACTGAGCCTGAAACCCAGGTATGAGCCCTGACTAGCTATCAAACCCTCAATCTTTTGGTGTACCAGGATTTTGCTCCAACCAGCTGAGCCACACAGCCAGGGCAGGATGCATGCTTCCTTAGCCGGGTTACAGACAAACGATTTGAATAAAAATCTGAGTCTCAGGGACAGCTCTATTGGTGACAATATAACTCCCTAGTCTTCCACAGATAACACTCTAGAATTTTCTAGTCAAGTTACTGCTTAATTTTCATCTGCTCTCTACTGCCACTGTTATAAGCAGATAAAGTTGTAACAATTAGATTGTGGCATTGTGTGCTACATGAAAAAAAGATGTGTGTATACTAAGTAACACCTATAAGGCATCATCTTAAGGTTTTATTTGGGGAAACAGTAATTTACAGTAGTGGCTCTCAACTGGGGTGACTTTTCCATACCCCCACCCCCAACCTGCCGCCAAGGAACATTTTGGTGATACTTGGATATTTTTGGTTGTTACAACTAAGAGGGGTGGGGAGGGTACTGGTATCTAGTAGGTCAAGGATGCTTCTAAACATCCTGCAACACACAGGAGAGCCCCCACCACAAAAAAATTTCCTGACTCCAAATGTTAATAATGCCGAGGTTTAAATATCTTAATTCAGAGGAATGTCCAAAAGTATATGTGCTCTAGAGTGGGACCTCCTTCAACTTTATTATTTATTCAACTGTCAAACCATAATAGTGGTTTCATTTCTAGTTCTGGAATGTTGTCTTTATGTTCTCTTGTGCACTGTGTGTATGCAATTGACATCACTTCTTTCTAGGCTGGATTTGGCATGTTTCACAAGATACATGGTTTCACAAATGTCACTTGAGCTTGATTCTCAAGTTCTTTCACAATTAATCAAATGTCTCTTGTCAACTAGATAATTTCATCTCAATGAGAAGAAATTCTGTGAAGGATAAAACTCATGACAAAAGCTATCTACAGTTTTGGGGAGGAAGTTCCTTTAAAGGCCAGGAGAAGCTGTACAGGGGTCCCACTGTGGCAGCACTCTTTTGGTTCTGTTCAAAGGTAGTCTAAACACTGTTTGTACATCATTATAAATAAGTCGGCTGTGCTGCCAAAACAACCTTGAGTACTGTCACTAGCACATCAGTGAGTCTGATGTGAACTCAGTGTTAAACTGGGAGCATAATCTCTAAAAGCACTGTGAAAAGCAGGTTCAGAGAATGCACAGGCTAAATAAAACTAAGAATTTATCCTTGCTGCTCAGTCATAAACATGCATCTGTCTCTCTCCTACAGACACAACTAGAGAGAACACTTCAAATATCTTAGAGGCAAGAAATTAAAAAAAAAAAAAAATTAGAAAGATCTCTAATACAGATGTTCAAGGCATTGTCATAATACTTTTCAAATCAAAAACTGATGAACCTTCTTCCTCTGTCTGCCTCTTTCCAACCTCTCTAAATTTCATCAAGGATAAAACATTCAGGAGAGATTATCTGAGCCAACTCCTTTACTTTAGAGATGAAAAATCTGTGTAAAACTCAGAAATCAGAGACTTTCTATTGTCAAGGCCAAACCCCAGGATTCCAGAATCCTAGCTGAGTCCTTCTCCTTATCACATGACCTCTGCTAAGATCAGGCTCAAATCTCTCTAGACACAATTCTCTGACAGAGCCAGCCAGTGTGGCTCAGTGGACTGAGTGTCATCCCATGGACTGAGAGGTCCTGGTTCAATTCCCTGTCAGGGTACATGCCTAGGTTGCAGGTGGTTCAATTACCTGTCAGGGCACATGCCTAGGTTGTGGGCTCGATTTCCAGTAGAGGGCATGCAGGAGGCAGCCGATTGATGTTTCTCTCTCACATCAATGTCTCACATTGATGTTTCTATCTCTCTCTCTCTCTCTAAAAAAAAAATCAATAGAAACATTTTTAAAAAATCTTTGCTAGAGCTAGAAGAAATAATAAAGTTGCCTCTCAGTGTTCTTACTAGGGTCAGTGATCTCAATTTCTTCCCCAATTTTTTTGAAAGAAAAAACAAATGCTGCAATGTATCTGTTGATGTACACAGCTCCTCTCCAACTTTTCTCTTTACTTTTTAGAAGACAATAAAAACTTAAAGGAAAAACAAAGGGTAATGATCAAAACTGGGCAGGGTATTTTACAAAAGTCTCAACAGCACAACTGAAGAAAGACCACTTGGCCCTTGCAGGTCATTTTTGATCCTCTTAATTATAAAACAAATAAAAGGTTTCTTTATATAAGTAGGGAATTTGTCAGGCATTATGCACATTTTAAGTTTCTCTCAATAGTAACAAATGTACAGTATCTTTCCACTATTTTTCATTTATTGGGACTATATCTTAGGCATTTTCATTTCTTATCTCCTTTAATCCCTATGTTACAGATGAGGAAATGGAAGCTTAAAGGGGTTTAGTAACTAGTCCAATGCCACACAGCTAGTGACAGAGCTGAGTTTGGACTCAGGCCTGTTGAATCCTAATTCTTCACCATTTTGCTATACCACCTCTAGTGACTCTGCCTGCCACCTACTGCAAATCTGTGAAAACCCATTCAGCACACAATTACTGCACTTGAGTTAAAAGGAGTCTCAAGAATACCCTGTTCCAGGCCCCTGATGCCTGTCAGGTGAGTGACCTGTCCCAAGTCACAGATCTAGTTAGGGCTGACAAAGACACTGGGCCCAGCTGCCTCACCTCCCAGTGTAGCTCCTGCCCACCAGCAAAATGGGAGAAAAGACCATCCTTTATCCACATTAAGAGTAAAGAAGCATTAATGCACATCTGAGAACTATAAGCACAAGAACTAGATATTAATCCTGCTGCATGGAGAATCTGCTCATAGTTGATATATAAATAGTATTTTTAACACAACTGAAAAAGCTGTGAATGATATTCTAGTGAAAGAAATTCATATCCAAGCTACATAAAATCTACATACCACAAAAATTTAACCCATCACTATTACTAAATTTTAAATTATGAGGTCTGGATTCATATGGTTTTTATTTCTATTTGGTACTTAAGGTCTTGATTCTGTTGTATATAAGCATCATTTTTTTTTTTAAATTCTCACCTGAGGATATTTTTCTATTTATCTTCAGATAGAGTGGGAGGGAGAGAAAGGGAGAGAGAGAGAAACATCAACATGAAAGGGACACATCAACTCGTTGCCTCCCGCACGACCCCAACCAGGGCTGGGATTGAACAGTAACAAGGTATGTGCCTTTGACCAGAATAAAACCCGCAACTCATTGGTCCTCCGGCTGATGCTCTAACTGCTGAGCCAAACCGGCCAGGGTTAAGCATCATTTTTAATTGTTGCTAGTTCCCTGGTGGATTCAGCACTTTCACTTGTGCCTTAGTATGACTTAACACTTGCTCCAGTAAGTTTTTTGTGGAACTATTTTTACATTTTATTGAGATTATTTTAAGCTTTATACTGGTCTCTCAATAATAAGCTGTCCTGCACAAGCATTGAACATCCTATAAAAATAATTTATTAGGGGTCGAAGCTGGCAATGGAAAAGCAGTTAAGACCTTAAAATAGTTATGCACATAATAAAATATAAAGGAACATATTTTCAGCTTTGTTTTGCTTTTAAAGGCTACATTATAATTAACAAGTAAAACCAGATACCTCACCAGTAAGATGCCATAAAGAGACAAAATAAAATTTTTAGAAATTTACAGCTGCATATAAATATAGTTAATTCTTACATACTTTAAGTTAATTGTGAGACAAACTGAAAGTTTGTTGAAAATTCCCAAATAAAAAATAAACAAGGTTTTGCAAGCATTCTATTTTCTCAAAACTCACTTGGCCAAACATCTCTATAATCAAGTATCTCAAAAAGCATTTAATTAGGGCTTACCTATATATAATGTGATCTTTTAATTGCTGCAAATCAGGAGGTATAAACAACTTTTCTAATACAAACATTCCAATACAACCTGGTGAAGCCTTGGGAATGAAAGGAAATATGAAAGACAGGTACCTCGTAGTTTGAGAGAAAATCTAGTAATTCTGATTGAGATGGGATGTACAGAAGTGGTTTCATCACCCGACGGACAAACTTCTCAATGTAAACAGCACTGATGGGGCCTTTGTATTCGATTGGTCCAAAACTAGTACCAAAAAAGTAAAAAATAAAAAGAATACACCATGCATTAAACCTGTAATGTATAACTGAAATCATCAACAACACAAAATGAAAATGTCCTGCTTTAGGATCCTGACTAGTTCACAGGTAAGCTGCCTTCTTTGTTTCAGGAGGCAACCAGAGGACCAATTAAGAAGCATTTATGTGAGAAAAGGTACAAGCAGCCATTACAAGCAATCTCTAAAAAATGAATTAATTCCCAAAATATTTCCTTAAAAAACAAAACAGAAAAGCAACCTTGGAAACTGACCAAATGCTAAAGGATTCCAGGATCTGAACTACACAATTCAATGTAGAGGGGCAGGCTTTCCTTTGAGCAGTTGGCCCTTGGCCTACTAAAAAGTAGTTATTAAATAGTCCCATAGGCACTTACACAAAGGATCACTAAATGAACCTTAAACCTACTTGAAGCTTTATTGTACAAACAAAAAATTATGTGAAGGTACAAGTCAGGGACTTGTATAAATGATTTTCCTTATTTTCCATTCTAGTTGTATTGGGGGATGCATAGGAGTTTGATTTAATATTGCTAAGCCATATTACTAACATTCAGTTATCCTCTTAATCAGCTAATCAGAATCCTCACATGGCTTTGTTCAATTTTGTACAATACCATCAGACATTGTTCAAATATAACTGGATGGTACGTAGAGTGGGTAGGGAATACAGTGAAATTCAGCAATTCCATAAACATTCTTCTTTCTAAACAGAAACTGACATTAAGCTTAGTGTTAATAGCAAGAATAGACAGAGCACAGTAAAGAATTAATAAAATGCATGATCGCAATACTATAATATTTGGTTACAGAAATTACACACACACGTGATAAAATAACCACAATTCTTCAGTGTGCACTGCAGAATATGATATAAAGAAATATTAGCATGAAAAGTAAAAATAGCATTCTACATGCACAACTGGGAGACAGAGTTAACAATTCTGTATTTCAAGACTTACTACAACTAATTTGTTAATTAATTTTAACAGTTTGTTTTAAAATCACCACCATCAACAACCCCATCAACCATCAACAATTTTTAAAGGAAAAAATAAAAAATAATTCGATAACTTCTTATATTCAGCAAAAAGGAACCAAGCAATCTGGAAACCTCATCTACTCAAGCAAATAGGCTCTACTGAGTTTCATGGCATGTTACAGGGTCCCAGTGACTTATAATCAGAAGATCCCAGAATACAGGAAAAGGAACATGTTTTAGCAACACACTAAAGCCATCACCACAGGAAAAGCTGACCTAGGGCTGCTGAAATTTATGCAACTGTTTTGAGAAACTAACCAAATGTTGGTTATAAACTCCCTGTTTGAGAGCCTTTTATAAACTGTCTTTGTAACAAGCCAAAAAATGGGGAATCTGTCCTCACTTCAGCAGCACATATACTAAAAAAAAAAAAGGTGAAATTTACTTTCACAAGACAGAAATGCCTATTACTTTCTTTAAGCAGCTACAACTAACTAAGTCATTATACAAACAACAGAAACAACCACACAACAATAGTAGTCAGTTCAGTGATGAGATTCAAGGGTCACATTTGCAAGCACATTAACCAAAAGAATCTCAAGACTACCAAATGCTTACAAGACAGTTTAGCTGGAAAAAAAAAGAGTTTAGCTGAAGGAACACATTCATTCATGTGTGTTATATGTAAACAGAGGGCTAGAAGATTCTTAAATAGAATATGGAGAGGCTGCTCTGGCCGGTTTGGCTCAGCAGTTAAAGCGTCAGTCTGCGGACCAGAGAGACCCGGGTTCAGTTCCCGCTAAGGGCATGTACCTCAGTTGCAGTTTGTCCCCAGCCCCAGTTGGGGTCATGTAGGTGGCAACCAGTCCATGTGTCTCTCTCACATCAATGTTTCTCCCTCTCTCTTCCTCCGTCTCTCCCTGAAGATAAATGCAAAAATGTCCTTGGGTGAGAATAAAAATAAAAGAATATGAAAAGGCTACCTTTAGGATATTTCTGTGCCTTAGCCCTTTCTGCTGTTTTTGATACACTGGGAATGGCACATGTTGAAATGAGTATTAATAGGCCTGGACTGACTTAAACAAGTAAAATTTTAACAGGTAAAGATGAAAAGCAAGCACTTCAAGGTGAGTACCAACCTCAAATTCCTCAAATGAGAGGGGTGGACTAGATTTTTTTAAAGTTCCTTTCATGTCTTTTCAATCTTTCTCTAAAACTAAGAAAGCAAACAGTGTAAGACAACATTGCACACCCACATGAACCAAAATGAGTTTGTACTCCATTCAAGGGAATTCTTCTGATATTAATGTCAAATCAAGTTAAGTCCACCTCTGGGAAGCTAGCTTCGTTGCATATAGTTGCAAGTCCTATACTCCCCACTAGGCATCTGTGTCCTATTTCCTATTTTCAAATATCTCCTATTTCTAAGAAAAGAAATTCAGGAAACTTCATAAGGCAAGTTCATTATCTCATTAATAGAGCACAGAGTTTTAGAACCTTCAAGTATAGCACTTTATACTTACCTTAAAAAAAAAAACACAACTCTGAGAAAGTATTCATATATCTAATGGAAATCTGAGGGTGAAGATGAGGTAGGAAAGTATGTTTATGTCCAAATACTTACTAGCCCCAGGAAGCAACAGAATGTGCTACACAACATTTTATGTTAGAGACATGGAAGTATGATGGAATGTGACAGATAATCGACAAATGATAATTTGTTGATATTGGTTATAAAGCCCCATTGACTAAGGTACAAGAAGTTTAGCAGGAGGGAAAAAATAAAATCTAAAAAGTAAAGCTCTACTAATCACATCTTCTTTACCCATTTTATCTTCATTAACAAACTTCAAGCTAACTACATTGAACAAAGTCCAGAATCCCATCTCAAGTCTCCAAAATCCTTTAAGTCAAATTTTAGACATTATTTAACACTCATATAGCAAAGTCAAGCACCAATATTTCTTCAGCAAAAGAATAAAATGGCACCTTAAGTGGGATAAAGACTATAGGCAGCCTCTTATTACTTCAGGCCAAATGAATGTATTTGGGGACAAGATTTATGAAAAATCTTTCAGGTTTTCAGGCTTTTTGGATTTCAGAATCATGGATACAGAATTATGGACTTGTAGTAATTTTCTCCCCAGCTGAAAAGATGGGATTCCCTCCTGATTATGCTATCCTATGTTATCCTGGCAAGTAACAGGATAAAGACTTTTATGTATTTTTATAACATAAAACACTTTTTTTTTTTTATCCTCACCCGAGGACATTTTTCCATTTTTTGTTCAGATAGAGTGGGAGGGAGAGAGAGGAAGAGAGAAAGAGAGAGAGAAACATCGAAAGGGACACAGAGTGGCTGCCACCCGCACCACCAAACAGGGCCAGGGACAAACCGCAGCCAAGGTATACGCCCTTAGTGGGAACCGAATCCGGGTCTCTCTGGACCGCAGGCCGACGCTCTAACCGCTGAACCAAACCGACCAGGGCAAAACACTTTTAAAATATCTGAAATGTACAGTCACACAATGGAGTAACCGGTACTATTATAAACAAGGCTATAGAGCCCTGGCCAGTTTGCTCAGCATTTAGTGTCAGCCTGAGGACCGAAGGGTCGTGGGTTTGACTTCTAGTCAAGGGCACATACCTGGGATGCAGGTTTAATCCCTGGCTCTGGTAGGGGTTGTGTGGGATCTTGCCGGAGGCAAACAATCAATGTGTCTCTCTCACATCGATGTTTCTCTCCCCCTCCTTCCCTCCCTTCCACTTTATCTAAAAATTAATAGAAAAATATCCTTGGGTGAGGATTAAGAAAATAATAATAATACAAATAAAAATAAAAAATTTAAAAATGCTGTAAAATATGTAATGACATGAAAAGATGTTCACAAAAGTAAGAAAAGCAGTTTAAGAAAGAGCATTACTGCCCTGGCTGGTTTGGCTCAGCAGTTAGAGCGTTGGCCTGTGGTGCAGAGAGACCCGGGTTTAGTTTCTGCTAAGGGCACGTACCTCGGTTGCAGTTTGTCCCCAGTCCTGGTTGGGTCAGGGCCGTACGGGAGGCAACCACTCGATGTGTCCCTTTCACATCGATGTTTCTCTCTCTCTCCTTCTATTCCCCTCTCTCTCTGAACAAAAAATGGGAAAATATCCTCGAGTAAGGGTTAAAAAAAAAAAAAAAAGAGTATTACTACATAATAATTTTTTTGTTTTTGTTTTTTTTTTTAAATAAAGAAGGGGGTGGATATACACACTGACAGGAGAATATAAATCAAAACACACAGTGATTATGTATGGCTGATAAAATTATCCAGATCCTTTCATTTATTTATTTTTGTTTATGTTTTCTCAATCTAATACTTTTAAACAGACAAAAAACAAAATCACTTCAAAATTGATAAACTTACTTGGAATCAGAAATGCTATTTAAAATTTCTTACCTCCGATGATACAGATATATCACAGGAAAATAAAAGAAATGCTTCTGTTTTCTGCATTTCCCCTGGTTCCACCAACAGTTAATTGCCACAAACAACACCTGCAGAGCCAAAAAAGGTTTCAAATGACTATGAATAACAACTGAAAAACTACTCAAACTTAAAAGATAAAATTATAGATATGGAACTATTCCTCTCTGAAACAGAAAGTGTAAAAAAAAAAATAGTTTCAAAAGTTCAAAGAAGGTCATCATTTACTGCTACAATAAAAAAGAAAGACTCTTATCGATAGCTAGGACATAGTATTTTGGAGTCTGGCCCAAGAGGAAAATGATTTCCTTTGAATTCTAAAGTGAATGAGCACCAAAGAACTTTTTCTAAGCATAATTAACATGAAAACTTAGCAGAACAAATGTCTTTTGATAGTCAAACTGGGTATCTGAGAGTGAAAAAAATGCTACCTATAAATAAAATATAACAAATTTCAAAGGACCATTTTAATTACTATATTAAAAACTAATAAAGATAATAGATGATTAAAACTATTTTATAAAATGTATTAAAGAGCAAAAATATTGATCAAGTACATATTTATAGGTGGATGATGATTTAAGAAGTGTCCCTATGTCTGAAATTTACTTTGAAATGTACCAAAAATAAGATGGATTAATAGAATGGAAAAAAGTTTCTCAGTTTTGGCAGTATTGACATTTTGGGCATGAACTGTTGTGAGATTTTTTCATTGTTGTTATGTTTGTCTTTGTTGTGAGGGACTATCCTATGGTATTGGTGTTTATCAATAATCCACATCTTTTACCCATTAGATGCCACTATTGTTCCCCTCTCAAGTACCAAAAAACCCTCTCTAGACATTGCCAAAGGTCCCTGGGGGGCAAAACTGCCACTAGTTGAGAAACACTGATTAGAGGGATAATAAGATGAATAAATATATAATAAAATGTTAACAGTAGAATTTAGTGGCAGGTATACAGAAAATTCCTTCACCTCTGCTATATGTTTAAAAATTTTTATAAATCAATATTGAAAAAATATGAAGACTACAAAAAGTCACTTTTAGATGCCTATACTTACTAGATAGCAATGTTGTTCAAATACTTTACTGCTCCTTTTAGAGTCTATTTATGAGAAAGAAAAGCAAAAATATATTTACGTAAGGCCAACATTTCATTTCTTCTTTACTAAAAAAATAAGGCACAGCACCGGCCAGTGTGGCTCAGTGGAGTGAGCATAGTCCCAAGGACTGAGAGGTCCCGGTTTGATTCCCAGTCAGGGCACATGCCCAAGTTTGAGGCTTGATCCCCAGTAGAGGACATGCAGGAGGCAGCCAACTGATGTTAATATCTCTCTCTCCCTCTTAAAAAAAAATAAAATAAAAACATTATAAAAAAATGTTTTAAAAGGCACAATCTATTGTTGCTCATTTTACTAAGCAATGTGGCTCAAAAGATTTTTGCCTGTTTCTTTTTTTTTTTTTTTTTTATCCTCATCCGAGGATATTTTTCCATTTTTTGTACAGATAGAGTGGGAGGGAGAGAGAGGAAGGGAGAGAAAGAGAGAAACATCGACGTGAAGGGACACATCGAGTGGCTGCCACCCGCACGACCAACCAGGGCCGGGGATAAACTGCAACCGAAGTACGCGCCCCTAGCGGGAACCGAACCCGGGCCTCTCCGGACCGCAGGCCAACGCTCTAACCGCTGAGCCAAACTGGCCAGGGCGATTTTTGCCTGTTTCTGACAATAAACCTGCTTCTTTTCCCTACTGAGAACTGGGAAAGGAGCTGGGAAAGTTTTTTTTTGCGGGGGGAAGCAGTGCTGGTCAGTTGTTTATGGCACTATGACCTCAAACATTTGACCTGTGATCTTTAACAAACTGCTGTGTCCTCTAAGCCTGAGGTCCTGCCTCAGAACAGAACACCAGCATCAGCTTCCAGAGCTGTTGTAAGGAACAGCACAGGACAGGCACTCCCAAATACCATTCCTATGTAATCACTCTGAAGGGCATACTACTTAAGTTGACAGTAAGATAATAAGTGACTGACACCCTAATATATTACATTCTCCATTTGTTCTCCACATATTCTCTAAATTCAGAAAATTTGGGGAATGACTTGCAAAGTGGTAAGTTCCTTTATACTAACATACTGCTTGCCTCCCAGTGCTCCATTAGAGTTCCTGTTTGCTCCCGGAAGTATCTGCCAGTTTGGTTACTCTTTGCCATTTAAAAGTTGTGTGTGTAAAGTAAAGACGGGAATAGATCAAATTCATGGGCCCACAGTTGGAACACAAAACTATACCCCCCCCCACCCACACACACAAAGTATCAATGTTACAGGGAATGAAGAGTTACATTTAAATAGTACTTGGTACCACATACAGAGATATATAATGGTTAAAAACACTTTACTAGGCTGAGTAGAAAGCTAATCACCACTTATAACATTGTTTCTAAGAAAAACCAACTGAGAGTTCCAAATAAACTTCTGGAACTCAGCTACCTGCTTAAGTAACCTCAGATCAGGAGGTCCCAGCAACAGTTTCTTAGATGTTTTTGCATCTTGCAAAGACTGGGGAAAGAGGGTGGCGGGTGAGAGGTGGGGCACATACTACAGGGCATGTGGTGAGTGGTAGGCAGGGGCTGTCATAGATACCCTGCAATGCTCAAAACTGCTCTGCACAGGGAAGTCATCCCAGAGCACTTTAAATGCCCTGTCCAACACCAACGTTGGGGAAAACCTGTTTGTTATTATTTGAGCCCAGAACCTAATTCCATTTTATATGTGAATCCAAAGCATGGTTTTTGTATTCACTGAATTTCTCAGGAAGGCAACTTCTGTGTCAATTGAGAGCAGAAAGTACTTTGTTTGATTCAGAACTTTACCAAGAGCTGTTCATTGTTCAGAAATATCAAATCACTGAGAGCAACGCCCCCGTGATTTCTGAGTCCAACACATTATACATTTATCAATCTACATTTATAACTCTTCCATCTCGGTAGCTCTACATAAAGGTACAAGGACCTATTTTGTCCAAGCATTTACAAACTGAAACACATATAACTTAATTATACATTACTTTGCTCCCTTCCACTTTTAAATTATAATTAGGTACATTAGATTAACTATTTTGAAATTAGATATGTAGGGAGGTTTTCTCATCTATAAATTCCTTTTCAAGGCATAAAAAGGAATAAATATAAAATACTTGTTTTATAAAGAGCAATTAGGATCCACTGGCTTGAAAACCACTGCCACACAGATAACTCATTTACCTATATATCCCTCTTATCTAGCACAAATGTTGCATTCATTCATTAAGTATTTGTTAAATATAATTCTGATCCAAGTATGGGTATTTAAAATGTTAGCCAGCTACATTATAGTCGATGCATAAATTTCTCCTAAATAAAATACCTAACTAGCAAATATCAAACAGATATTCAACTAGGACTTTCAGTCCCCCACCTACTTCAGCACAAAAACCAAACAGCATAGCATCCTGGAATGAGTACTACTACTCATGAGATACAGAATCTGTTCCTACTTCTGATGCTAACCAACTAGGATCATCACAATCAGAAATCCTCTGTTTCTTTTTGGAAGGCTTTAGAATATACAAAGTGCTCCTGGCCTTCATCTTGGCAAAATCAGCCAGCTGGGTAAGATGTCTCTATGGGGACAACCTGCTCTGCAACAGGACTAATAGTCATTTGATTCTTAGGCCAAATGTCAGTATTACCTGGTCTGAAAGCTGACTCGCTGCTTGCTCAATTTCTGCTCTGGCAGCCATGGACTGTCCACACCATGGGGCATAGAAGAACAGCAGCACCACCTCTGAGTCCTGGCGAACGTGCTCTGCGTAGTCCAGCTGACCCTGGAAGAGGTCAAGAACCGGAGACCTTGGGGAGAAAAAGCTGACAGGTGGCTTTGCTGGTATTATCACATCTTTGGCTCGACTGAAAAAGAGCAAACACAAACAAGATGGCTGAGTTTATTTTCTTCTAACAACAGCTTCATATGGAAGGAGAATGAATTTTAAGTCTTCTTTTTAAGAAAATGGAGTCCTCAAAACACTGTCCTGATGTAAAGAAGTAATATTCTATGCTAAGGCAATATGTGGCCGAGAGAATGAAAGACTGGAATATGAGAATGGAATATGCTGAAAATTATTCTATAATATTGTTTCCCCATGTGTGGAGTGGGAGGGCAGTGGAAAGCAGAGAAGAATGTCTTGGAATAATCCATATTCTTGCCCAGCCGGTGTGGTTCAGTGGTTGAGCATCGACCCATGCACCGAGGTTGCCAGTTCGATTCCGGGTCAGGGCACATGCCCAGGTTGTGGGTTTGATCTCCAGTGGGGGGGGCATGCAAGAGGCGGCCAATCAATGTTTTCTCTCATCGATGTTTCTATCTCTCCTTCTCCCTTCCTCTCTTTCTAAAAGCAATCAAGAAAAAAACAATTTTTTTTTAAATCCATATTCTTGCCTCCACACTCAAGATTCACCCTCATCTCTCTGCAGTCTTGTTCTCCACAGCAGCTACTGATCTCCAGGGCATCAGAGTCACCAGTACTTGCTCAGCATTAAGGAGAGGGAGCACATGTGACTACTGCTAATTAGATTTCTATAGGGAATGCTTACAATCAACTCAACTTTAAGAAAACTTAAAGTATATTAGCTGGAGTTGGCCTGTACTTATCCAGGGCATTCAGGAAAAAGTAATAATTAAATAATAATATAGCTTTCTCCAGATACGTATCATAATCCAAAGGTTAATAAAGATGAGTAACAAAGCAACAGCCCATTTAACTAGAAAACAGTCTTCCTGAGTACTTGAGATTCCCAGAAGGGAGATGTCAGGACAAAAAAAAAAAAAAGAATGAACAAGTGGTCAGAAGTCACAGAGCTGCCACAACTTTCCCCATTAAGACAAAAAGGTCTTCGCTGAGGCTGCATCCCACCAAGTTAAAGGGGCCTAAAAATACCGTGAGTCATCCACATAACTGCACTAAAAAAGCATAAAACCATTATAGAAGTTTAGCTAAAAAACCAGTAGAGGAAATAAAAATGGAACCCTAAAAATATATTAAATTAACCCAAAAGAAGGCAGAAAAGGACCAAGAAAGGGACAAAAACCAGAAGGTACAAGTGGAAAAGAAAGAGTCAGAAGGTAGACTTAAACCCAACCATATCAACAATTACATTAAATATAAAAGAACCAAACCATCCAATTAAGAGGAAAAGATTGCCAGACTGGATAATGAAGCAAGACTCAATCATATGCCATCTAAAAGAAACACATTTTAAATATCAAGACATAGAGAGGATGACAGTATAAGGATGGGGGAAAAAACAGACCATCTAAATACTAAGCATAAGAAAGCTAGAGGATAAATAAACTAGGGTATATTCTTACAATTAAATGTTATTTGGCAATAAAAAGGAACTGATACATAAAACTGGATGAGTCTCAAAATAATGAAACTGAATGAAAGAAGTCAGACACTAAAGAATACATACAAGGTGGGGCAAAAGTAGTTTTAAGTTGTGAGGCTGCTAAACAGAAATTATTCTTATATTATTATTAAAAATTTTTTTTTTCTTTTATTGATTTTATAGAGAGAGGAAGTGAGAGGGAAAGAGAGTTAGAAACATCGATGAGCAAGAACGTCAATTGGCCGCCTCCTGCATGTCCCCACTGGAGATTGGGCCCACAACCTGGGCATGTACCCTGACCAGGAATCGAACAGGCGACCTCTTGGTGCATGGGTCGACGCTCAACCACTGAGCCACACTGGCCGGACTTATATTATGTATTATTGTATTACTTTCCATATAAACAACTGTAAACTTACTTTTGCACAACCCTGTATAATATGAAACCCAAAACAGGCAAAGCTAACCTATAATGAGATAAATCACATCAGTGGTTGTCTACAGTGGGGAGTGGGGTAGAGAGTAACTGCAAAAAGGTACTGAGGACATTTTTTCTCAGCTCCCTATTGGTTGCCTTCATAGCTCTCACCACACTATTACTTATATTACCTTTTTATTATTTATCTACTCTACGAGACAGATCATTAACTCCAGAAAGACAAGGACACTATCTTTTACACTGTTAGATCATCGTTTAGCAGCTCCTGTTACTCTGACGTTCAATAACCTGTGAAATGAACAAACCTACCATTTACCTCACCTGAACATATGTGAAAGGAAATTAAACATAAATCCATATAGACATATATTATTAAGAACAGTCTGAAAGAATCAAAGTGTCAGAAGGCCCACTGCTTTACTAGGGATGATTCTAAGGGGCACCTAATTGTGTTTTAACTTTATATGTGTTCAAATTAACTTGATCATCTGGGTTTTCAGAAAATAGCCAAATACAAGTTGTCCTCTGTATCTCCCGGTTCCACATCCATGGATTAAACTAAACTTGGATAAAAAATATTCTTTAAAAAAATCACTCAAGCCCTGGCTGGTTTGACTCAGCGGTTAGAGCGTGGCCCACGGACCAGTGAGTCTTGGGTTCAATTCCAGTCAAAGACACTTACCTCTGTTGTGATTCATCTCCCACCCTGGTTGGGATTGTGCAGGAGGCAGCCACTCAATGTGTCCCTTTCACGTTGATGTTTCTCTTTCTCTCTCTCTCTTTCTCTCTCTCTCTCTCTCGCTCTCTCTCTCGCTCTTGCTCTCGCTTTCTCTCCCCCCTTCCTTCCCTCCTTCCCTCTTTATCTGAATAAAAATGGAAACATGTCCTCTGGTGAGGATAAAAAAAAAAAATCATTCGAAAAATGTTACACTGTTACTGATGTGTACTACATAGTCAGGCCTACCATGGTTGCATCTATACTGAACATGTAGACTTTTTCTCGTCTGTAGTCCCTAAACAATACAGTATAACAACTATTTACATAGCATTTACATGTATTAGGTATTATAAGTAATCTAGAGATGACTTAAAGTATATGGGAGGATATGGGTAGGCTATATGCAAATACTGTACTACTTTATATAAGGAACTTGAGCATCCAAAGATTTTGGAATCCGAAGGGGGTCATGGAATCAATCCCCTGCAGAAACCAAGGGAGGACTGTAGTAGGAAGGAGTAACATGAAGGAAGGTGCTGACAACTCTGAGATTTGCAGCAGATAGCCAGATATTTAGAAGCAAAAGAGAAAACATATATAAACACCCAAGACCTGGACTGTTGGGTCATTTAGTATGAGGGAAAGAGTACCACATTCTCCTCTACATCTAGAAGATATTAGCTTCCTGAATTAAGAAGACAGTTTTAAATATATCACTTAACTATTTTAACCAAAGGTTGTTAACATCATAAAGGTGTTAGAAGTTGGAGCAAATCTATTTATTCACTCAAACTAACATTTTAACTCTAAAATCAGTGAGTTTTGTCTGTGTAAAATATCTTCACAACCTGCAAATCTCAGTCACTTACAACATAATTCAAAAAATGTTCATTGAGCAAAACTTATTGTATTGTAGGCCCTGTACCAGATACCAAGGGCGATAGTAGTGAGCATGTTTTCAAGGGGCTTATTTTTCTCAGGGAGGAAGACAGGCAAACAACCAAATACATAAACAACAAACAATAAACACACAAACGATCACTGCCATGTGGGAAGTTTTACTAGCCAGAGTGCTCATCCTTTTAAGATGAGATCTGAATGATAAGAAGAAGTCCCTGTGGCACAAGAGTGACACATTTTCAAGAACTCCAAAATTCTGCTCTCTAAAGGTATTATTTTTCTACTATTCCAGTTGCACGGTAAGTGCTAAATAACATAATCTGAGGGAAAATGTAAGTCTGTGATGGCCAAAGAAAGGATAATTATCAACTTAGTATTACTGCTTTGCCATGTTCAGAGTAGTCCCTAAAGTAAACAACACACCAAATAAAATATGTGGCCCATCAAAAAACAAACATTAACCAGGGAACAGAGACATATGCCTCTGCTCCACCAGAAACATTCACACGTTTCCATTTAACTCTTAAATTAGCTAAACTTTTTGAAAAACTATACCTAGATCAAAGATTTCCTGCAGCTTTCAAGTCTAAATCTCAGGTACAAAAAAACTCAAGAGTTAGTTGCAAACAAGAAAGGTCTGTTGCAATTTCCAACTACACACACACACACACACACACACACACAATTTTTTCCTCCAAATCAGGACAAAAGGAAAGCAAGCAGGAGAAAGTCATGGAAATTCAGTGCACAGAAAGGCAAACAGGATACAGATTAAATGCCCCAAAATACACAATTATTAGTTGTGTTTCAACTCCAAATCAACCTTTTTTATGCTATCTGGTTTGAATTCAGCTAAACAACAGACACTGAAGAGGGTTCTCCCTTATTTCAGGTCTGGAGCTATTAACAAAAATTAAATTTAAAAACTTACACTCTTCATTATGCCTGTCCTCATTAACACAAAGATCCTAAAAATAAAATAGAAAAGGGGGGCCAGAAATGTTCGAGTCAGTTGAACAGCAAAAAAACTGTATCATGACACCATTCAATCAAATAGGACTTAAAAAAAAAAAAAACAATCTGAGTCTATTAAAAGACTGTCACATTTGCCAGTGGCACAGAAAGGAGCTGGTCAGGCAAGCTGTGGTTCTCTCTCCTAGCTGAAGCAGGCAGGGATCTTGTTCTGTCTACTCTAATAACTGGATTTATACTCTCCCATCTTCCTGAAATTTGAAAGGACTTTCATATCTAATATGTTATTATTTCTACAGACAGACAAGCTAATGTCAGTAAGCTCCCCAACTCTTTTGCTAATTTGAACCCAGATGCCACCTTGAAATTATTCTATCTTGTAAAATATTTTGTAAATTTTCTTGATGAAGGAAGATGATAAAGAGCAAGGTTAAGAGCTTATCCACTTAATAGGCAGATGTGATTTGGAACAAGTTTTGTAACATGACCAAAGCTCAAGTCCTTTATCTGTAAATTGAAAGGAAAAGAGCATATCCAGACTTTACTGGGAAATGAAATTTAAATCCAAATGATTCACGCTAGGCTCTCAGATTCTGCACTGAAAGAATAAATGCACTCTTGTAAGCTGTAGTTCTCAAGCAGGCAATCTTTTTCCCCGGGGGACACCTGGCAATGTCTGGAGACATTTTTTGACTGTCACATCTGCACAAACCAGGGATGCTAAACATCCTACAATGAACAGGACAGCCCTGCAGTTAACATATTCAATAACAATGTTCTAAGTTGAAATCTTCCTCTTGGCCAATAGGCAACTCGGTGGCAACACAGACATAAATTGGAGTCCCAGGAGATATCCTGTGGATTTGGGAGGCCAAAAAAACTCCTGAAATTTAAAGTAAAATTTACTTTTGTGTACTTTTTCAAAGATAGGCACATTAACCTTCATTTTTCCTGTTCATTATGCATCAGCCTTTTACAGGCCTTTCGTAGTTCCAGGAAAACACCAGGCTTGTCCTGCTTCAGGCTTTTGCACTTCTTGTTTCCCCTACCTTGGACACTCTTCCCCAGATCCTCCCAGTGCTGGCCCCTTCTCCTTGTGTAAGCTTCCGATGTGGCTTCCTTAGGAAAGCCTTTCTGCCCCACCCTCATTGCTTCCATTCTCCGTACAGCACGTACAGAAACCCTTTAATATTAAGTTTACTTGTTTACTGGCTGTCCCACCCACTGCAGCGGAGAGTAGAAACTTTTATCTTCATCGCTCACCTGGATGAGCGCTTCCCATAGTAGGTGCAGGTAAATAATCGTTAGATCAATGGTTCATAAACTCTCAAAGGGGTCTGGGACTCTAATGGCTGTGAATGACTACATTCGAAGCATAAGGGCAACAAAATAAGTGGTAAGTGAGGATCCTACAACTTGGGCAGAAGTGACAGGTGCACCACAATAAGCCCCAACGGAGCAGCTCAGAACCTGGCCCACCTCCGCTGGTACTAAATGGGATGAAGGGGTGCCGAGCAACACCCGGAAACCTCGCCATATGGCTGGGTGGCCCACCAGGGAGAGGGGAAAGCAGCTGGCAAAGCCGCAGGCTGGAGGAGGGAAGGTTAAGACCCTCGTTCCCAGCAAAGTCAGGTCCGACTTCAGCCCCCGGAAGTCGCCATAAGCCCTGAGCTGGCCACGCGCCGCCAGCCGGGCCGAGAAGGCGCCGGTGACCCGGGGGTGCGGGCCCCTCACCTGCAGGTAAACTTGAGGGCGAGGAGCAGCGCGCAGCCGAGCGCCAAGGCCCCACAAAGCAGCTCGGGTCGCCGGCGCGCCATGAGGAAGGCGCCGCGCAGTCCGCGACGGAGCCGATCCGCCGAGGACGCTCCAGCCGGGGCCGGGCTGAGGGAGCCGGAGCCCGCTGGGCCGCCGCCACCTTCCTCCTCGGCGTCGTCGCTGCTGCTGCTGCTGCTGCCGCCGCTGCCGCCGCGGCCTCCGCATTCCGACATTACATGCTCCCCGTCGCCAGCTTTATACCGCCGCGCCGCCGCCGAGGGCCCAAGGGCCCGGCCCGGCCCGTCGCTCCCCAATCCCGCAACTCGTAGTGCCCGCTAACCGTGACCCTCCACGTCAGCCCTGCAGCCGCCGCGGATCCCGCCCCCGAGCAGGGAGTTCCGCCCTCCGCCCACGGAGTCTGCGCGGGTGCTGACAGCTACCAGAAGCCCCGCCCTCCCCCGGAAGGACACGCCCCCTCGTCCTTGGAGCCGGCGCGGACTGCAGTCCGCTCACACGTTCTGCAGTCCCGCCTTTAACCCACGGGCCCCACCCTCCGTCTACGGAGCCTGCGCAGGCTCTAGAACCAAGCGCCTGGCCACGCCCACTCCGCGGTCCTCCCAGCACCGACTAACGTAGACTCCGTACTGGGGAAGGCCCGCCTGCCCCACAGGATTTTAAGATCCATGATGATGGCAGAACACGTGCCCACTAGTCTCATTGCAGTCCCCAAAGGACGTAGGTGCCGTTTATGATCCCCGCTTAATGGTAGGAAAACACGTGCAGAGGCGAGAAGTGTCCAAGAACCCAGGAGTGAGGCGAGAACGATCGGTCCCTTGGCCTCGGTTTGCACGCCTGTAAAATGAGGTAATAGCAGTAACTCTCTCACGGGTTGTTTTGAAAATTAAATGAGGTAACTCATGGAAAGTGCCTGTCAACCTACCGGTCATTTTGCTACTTGTTTTCTATATCTCACATCTTTTTTGTTCCTTACTTTTATCTTTTGTATTAAGTGGATATTTTCTAGTATACCATTAATTCCTTTAATGATTTTAAACTTTTTTGGTATAAGGGAAGTTTGCTGTAGGGATCACAATATACATTTTTTCAGAATTTCCGAATTTCTGCTTCAGACTTACACTAAATTCCAGTAAGATATAGAAACTGTTCCAATATAGCTCTGTTCTCTTTTTTGTGTGTGCTATTACTTTTTTTTTATTTTATTTTATTTTTTTCCTCACCCGAGGATATTTTTCCATTTTTTGTACAGATAGAGTGGGAGGGAGAGAGAGGAAGGGGGAGAAAGAGAGAAACATCGACGTGAAGGGACACATCGAGTGGCTGCCACCCACACGACCAACCAGGGCCGGGGACAAACTGCAACCGAAGTACGTGCCCTTAGCGGGAACCGAACCCGGGTCTTTCCGGACCGCAGGCCGACGCTCTAACCGCTGAGCCAAACTGGCCAGGGCTACTTTTTTAATGTTATATTACAAACCTAATAACACAGTGTTATATTGTTTTATATAATCTTGTTTAAAGATACATATATGTAGTTTTTTTATTTATATTAATCTTATTTACCATTTCTGGTTCTCTTGATTTCTTTATGTAGATTTGAATTACATTATTAATGAAAATAAATATGGTCAGAAGTCACCAATTCCCATTCACAGTAGGTTGCTATTACAATGTACCCTACACTGCCATAAGACACCTGTTCTTTGCACAGCCTTTATAAGGTTCAAAGTACTTTTGCTGCCTGTGGGTTATCTCATGAGACCCACAATACCTTGTGGCAATGTAGGGTGGCATCTTACAGGCCAGAAAACCACTCTGGAGTAATAAAGGTATGGTTCCTTTCCTCATCTCTTTCTAGATATCTGGCTGCTGCTCTGGCAGTTGTTCTGAAACAAAGATAAAAAAATATATTTCAAATTACAATAGGGTACCAAGGGTCAGGCTATACTACTGCTCTTCAAGGCTAGGTTAGCCCTAACTTGTCCACATCAACCGGAATATGAGCTTTTGTAGCCACTTTTTTTTTTCTTTTCTTTTTGTTAATCTTCACCCAGGGATATTTTTCCATTAATTTTTTCAGATAGAGTAGAACAGAGAGGGAGGCAGGGGAGAGACAGAGAGAGAGAGAAACATCGATGTGAGAGACACATTGATTGGTTGCCTCTGGCACGACTCCAACCAGGGCTGGGTTTGAACCTCCAACCCAGGCACGTGGAACTTCCAACCTTGACTGGGAATTGAACCTGCAACTCTTCAGTCTGCAGGCCAACGCTCTTAGGGCTGAGCCAAACCAGCCAGAGCCCTAGCCACTTTTTATACCCTGATCAAGTGGGTAGAGTTAGAGTAGTAGGAATGGAGAAGATTTGAGTTTTTACATATATATAAAAGAAAACCTTTGTCCTGGCCAGTGTGCCTCAGTGGTTAGAGTGTTGGCCCGTGCACCAAAGGGTCTCAGGTTCAATTACCAGTCGAGGGCACATACCTGGGTTGCAGGTTAGATCCCTGGCTCCAGTCAGGACATGTGCAGGAAGCAACCAATCGATGTGTCTCTCTAACATTGATGTTTCGCTCTCACTCTCTCTCCACCCTCCACTCACTTTAAAAATCAATGGGAAAAATACCCTCGGGTGAGGATTAACAAAAAAATTTAAACAAACAAACAAAAAACTGACAACTGTTAGCATAGAGCCCTCAACACTTAGTTCCAGGGTTCCAGGGACCTGCATCAATTGGGGAACTGAAGAACACATTCCCCTGGCAGTTAGTACAGATTTCAAACACTGTTTATATATAAATATCCTATATGTTAATCCTTTCTTAGAACCAGAGAGAAACAATGCTCTCCCCCCATTTTTTTAAACTTCCAAGCATTTACTTAATAAATGGGTGTGTCTAACAAGGTACAAGTTGACAGGTAATGCAGAGGGAAGCCCCCACTCCCTCAGTCTGGGTATTCTAGCTGATGGTATTCTCTAGTGTTTCTTGGAGATTTTGTATCAAGACCCTAGAATAGCTGTCCAGAAATTGACATTTATTCCTTGCAGCAAATACAAGAGGGCCATTGAAGAGTGTTTGAAACCTGCACCCCAGGGGAAGTGTTCTCCTTTGTTTCCCAATTGATGCACTCTATTGAACTAAGTAGAAACAAACGTTGAGGACTCTGCAAATAATCATCAAAGAGCAAACAGCTAGAGTGATGGAGAGAGGTAGGCACCCCCAGCACCAGCCTGCCTGCCCAGGGTGCCTGGTCACAGAGTGGGAGTACTGGGCAGAGGAAGAATTCCCTGAGAGCAAGGACCCACTTGCAACCTCCCACACACCTCTCTAGGGCGGCTTATTACAGCCAAAACTTGCACATGAATATTCATATTCACAAAAGCCAAAAACAGGGAAACAAATGTCTATCAGCAGAGGAATGAATAAACAAAATGTGGTATATTAGTAAAATGGAGCATTATTTGGCAATTAAGAGGAATGAAGTACTCATACCTGCTACATGAATGAACCTTGAAAACAAAGGCCACATTGTATATATGATTTCACTTATATGAAATGTCCAGAACAGGCAGATCCATACAGACAGAAAGCAGATCAGTGGTTGCCTATGGCTTGAGAAGCAGGGCTAGTGGGTAGATTGGAGTGTGGATTTTTTTTAAGGAATGAAAATATTCTAAAAATTCATTGAGTAATTGTAGCACATTTGGAATATACTGAAAAACACTGGATTGTAATTTAAAATGGTAAAGTTTTTATGTTAGTTGTATTTCAATTTCGTAAATGTTGAAAAAAAAATCCATACTGCGGAGATAGCTAAACATGTCCAGGGAGACATGCCAATGATTACTATTTCCCCTGCTATTACTCTTGGACTTTTGCTCTCATACTCCACCCCACCCCCAACCCCGCCCCAACCTTCATACCACTCTCTCCTCCAAAGTTACCCATTTGCTTCTAGGATGGGTGTGACTTCACCTAGAATAATTAACATTGACTTCCTAATGCTGAGACCAAGGCTGTGGCAGGTAGGGTTTAGCTGCAAACCAGAGTGTTACTGGCTCATTTAGGAAGAAATGGAATTTACTGAAAGGATGGCTGAGAGCACAGAGAATCAATTACAAGAGGTTGAAAGCCAAGGTACAGGAAATGCAAGGGCGTGTGATAAACACAAAATTCTCATCTTGACCAATCACAGGATCTTCAACTCTAAGTTTTGAGCCTGAATTCCCAAGGTTAAGACGACTAACTTTTAATTTATTATTTATTTATTTATTTATTTTAAATATGAGCACTCACCAGATATTCACTCTTAATGAATAATTGTTACTTAAAAATATTTTTGTTGATATTAGAGAGGAAGAGAGAAGGGATAGAAACATCGATGAGACAGAACATCAATTGGACGCCTCCTATATGCCCCCCACTGGGGATCGGGCCCACAACCTGGGCATGTGCCCTGACTGGGAATCAAACCAGCAACCTCTTGGTGCATGGGTCGATGCTCAACCACTGAGCCACGTTGGGCAGACACCAACTTTTTAATCTATAAACTGAAACAGCACCAGGGACAACTTTATATATATGATAAAGTTACTTTTATTTTTAATTTTTTCATTAATCCTTATATTTTTTTCCATTGTTTTTTTTGGGAGAAAGTAGGCGGAAGGGAGGGAGAGAGAAACATCGATGTGAGAGAGACACATCAATTAGTTGCCTCCTGCACGTGCCCCAAGCGGGGCTGGGGATCAAACCTGCTACCTAGGTACGTGCCCTTGACCGGAAATCACACCCGCAACCCTTCGGTGTGTGGGCCAGTGCTCTATCCACTGAGCCACACTGGCCAGGGCTAGAGACAACTTTTTAACATTTACTATTCTCCCTAGAAAAAGACAAAAATATATTGGGAGAAAAAAATAATGTAATAAAGGCCATCAGACTAGGAAGTCCTAAGAGAACAGTTAACATTACCAATCTATTCTACAGAAAATGTCACTCCTAACAGATTATTTGGCAAATGAGATACATTCCTAATGCACCTACCAAATAAAAACTGGACCCACTGCCTTCCCACACACGAGAGGAAACCAGTCTTTCCTACAATCTTCCAGGAATCAAGGGAACTTGCTTGTCACTCCGTAGCCCCCGATTCTGCTAAATGCTCTACTTCTCTCATCTCACTACTTGCAGCTATGCTGCGCCCTCCCGCCCTGACTGGACTCACAAGCAGAACAAAGACTCTTTTCTGTTTTCCCCAAAGCCCACTCATTCAAGATCATGGTGAAGAACTGACTTTGCCGGAGTTTGAAGGTTTGGTACATCAGAGCCTAGCAGATCCCTGTCTTCCA